GATAATGTTTATTATTATAAGCGTGCACTGCAGTTATGTCCTTTTGCTCAAACTCTTTAAAGCAGGATGGATTCTGATTGGCTGTCTATGTTTTTATCATTCATCAGCTGGAAAAAAATCATTCTGAAAAGTGATTCCAATGATATTGTTCCTCTGTATTGTTATCGTTATAGTTGTGGTGTAGACTTCCCTACTCTCATAGAATTTAACGATTGTTAAAACTTTATCGTCATCCTCCTTGGTGTGAATGGGCCTTAAAAGTTAAAACTGCAATCATACACACACTTGAAGAGATTCACTGAACTGAACTAAAGGGAAATAAAGTCTATAAAACATTCAGTAGAGTATTATTCTGTAGTGATACAAAAATACTAATTTATTACAGTAAGTGTCTGTTGCAGTATATAAATTACTAACGTTATTGATCACTTTCATTTGAAATCAGGACAGCATGGGTGCAGAAGATCAAAACAGCTTCTGACCTCTTCATAGAGACTGAGAAGCTCAAAAGAGAGAAGGCATACCAAGGTTGGGATTCAGTGATGGCTATTAAGAGTCAAAGTCAATGTGATGGTATTACTGATAAAAGTCTGTGTACGTTGTTTAGCTCGCTCTCAGAAGAACAGTGGAATCGGGAGACTGTTAGTAACGGTCCTGGAGGCGATAGAGTTGAAGCCCTGCAAACCCAACGGTTCGAACATACACAAACCTCACTATATACACTGTATATACACACACACACACACACACACACACACACACACACACACACACACACACACACACACACACACACACACACAGTTAAGTCCGTATATATTTGGACACAGGCTCAATTTTCAGAACTTTGTATGCCACCAGAATAAAATTAAATTGAAACAATCAAGATGAATTAGAAGTGTAGTTTCAGCTTTAATTCAATTGGTTGGGAAAAAAAGTTTAGGAATTGCAACCATTTTTTATACAGTTCCCCCCATTTTCAGGGGCTCAAATTTAATTGGACAAATGAATATAATCATGCACAAAATGTTTTTAAAAATCACAAATTTTTAATATTTTGTTGAGAATCCTTTGCAGACTGCCTGAAGTCTGGAACCCATGGACCAAAGACTAGGTTTCCTCCTTTGTGTTGCTTTGCCAGGCCTGCAGCCGTCTTCAGTTGTTGTTTGTTCGTGGGTCTTTCTGCCTTTAGTTTTGTCTTCAGCAAGTGAAATGCATACTCGATTGGGTTGAGATCAGGTGACTCAGCCATTGCTGTATATTCCACTTATTTTCCTTCAAAAACTCAGGGGATTTGCAGTATGTTTTGGGTCATTGTCCATCTGTACCGTGAAGAGCTGTCCAATCAACTTTGCTGCATTTGGCTGAATCTGGACAGACAGTATATCCCTATACACTTTAGAATTCATCCGGCTGCTTCTGTTACATCATCAATAAACACCAGTGACCCGATGCCACTGGAAGCCATGCCACCACACTGCCTTCACGGTGATTTACAGATGATTTGGATGCTTTGGTGCATGAGCTGTTCCAAGCCTTCTCCACTTTTTTCTTCCCGTCATTCTGGTACAGGTTGATCTTAGTTCCATCCATCCAAAGAATGTTTTTCCAGAACTGGTCAGGCTTTTTTAAATGTTTTTTCTGATAAAGTCTAATCTTATCTTTCTATTCTTGAGGCTTGAACCTTTGTGGTGAACCCTCTGTATTTGCTCTTGTGAAGTCTTCTCTTGATTGTAGACTTTGACAATGACACACCTACCTCCTGGAGAGTGCTCTTTACTTGGCTGAATGTTGTGAATGGGTTTTTCTTTACTATGGAGAGGATCCTGCGATCATCTACCACTGTTGTCTTCCGTGGACGTCCAGGCCTTTTATGTCGCTGAGCTCACCAGTGCAAGCTTTTTTTTTTCTCGGAATGTACCAAACTGTTGATTTGGCGACTCCTAATGTTCCTGCTATCTCTCTGATGGATTTGTTTTGTTTTTGAAGCCTAATGATAGCCTGTTTAACTTGCATGGAGAGTTCCTTTAAACGCATTATGTGGGTTCACAGCTACAGCAGCTTCCAAATGCAAATACCACACTTAGAATCAACTCCAGAACTTTTACCTGCTTAATTGATGAATAAATAATGAAGGAATAGCCCACACCTGTCCATGAAACAGATTTTGAGTCAGTTGCCCAATTATTTTTGGTCCCTTAAACCCTTCCTCCATTTTGGATGTAAATAAGAAATAAATAAAGAATCTGAGTGTGACTTTAAGCCCATTTTCAGCTTTTTGTACTATGCTTTTGTTTTGCTCTTCCAGTAAATTAATCTAGTTTTAAGAATGTTTAGATATTAATACTGTAGATCAAGACAAAAATATAATTAGGAAATGATTTTTGCAGTGTGTGATGTGTTGTGTGTTTACAGGGAAGAGTAACCCATACTGTGAGCTAACAATGGGCGCTCAGTGCTACACGTCCCGCCATCAGCCCGACACGCTCAACCCCAAATGGAACTTTAACTGCCACTTCTTCATCAAAGACCTGTATCAGGACGTCCTCTGCCTCACTATCTTTGAGAGGGACCAGTTTTCTCCTGACGGTGGGATTCTACACGGCAACACACATACAAAATATACACACACAAAAAACATATTTTCAACTGATCGTGATTTCAATACAGATTTTCTAGGTCGTACTGAAGTTCCTGTAGCAACAATAAAGAAGGATCAAGATGGTAAAGGCCCATTGGAACGGCGTCTGCTGCTTCACGAAGTTCCAACTGGAGAGGTCAAGGTGCGGCTTGACTTGCAGCTCTATGAGCAAACACCTCACCTGTGAACGCCACATCTGCTTCATTAGCACCACAACATTAAACAGATCACTTAAAACAAAGTTTCAAAGTTTGTTAATTAGTGTTCAAATTTAAAATTGAACACTCCTGAAATGGAAAAGGTGAACCACTTAACGGATGTTTACATGCTGTAAAATAGAGGCTGGTAGTGTCATATTTACTCTCACGCTTAAGGATGATGTTGTATGATGGGGAACACTGGGCAATAATGTGATGATTTGGTTGGGATAGGAACTGGTTTGTATTTTGATTTTTTTTTTAAATTGCATTTATAATCTGAACATAATCTGTGTGACCACAGTTGACTTTGATTAGGTGTTCTTTCTGGCCTTACATTGTTTAAAAGCCAAAGATTGCTATCCCAGCTAACAAAATGTTTTACTAGTGTTCGCTTTGAGTTATGAACATGTTTTTCTAAATGTTCTCTGGACGTTCAAAACGTCTAGGTCTTTGTTTTAAAAAGTAGTTTTTCCCCTCGGTCATGCAGTCGTTTTGGAAGCATTCCATTTTATCATTCTGCAAACATTTTGGGAACATTACTTTTAAATGTTCTCTGAACATTCTGGAACAAGTAGTAACATTTAAAAAAAAATATCCAACTATAGCATTTCAGAACAAAACGTTTAAACAATACTTTAAAAGCATTTTTGTTTTAATGTTTTGAGAACATTATTAAAGACCAGATAGCTTTGAATAAACGTTACTGGAAGAATTTTTGTTCATAACTTTGAGAGAACCTTTTCAAGAACATTAGCCAAAGTTCTGAGAATTCTCCCTGTTAGCTGGGATAATGGAGTGAAATACACTGCTCTGCTTTAAGAGTGACTGGCAGCCTTTAATTGATTTTATTTTACTTCATTGCCTTTAAACTGAACACCATGCACAGCAGCTTCCTATGAATAAAGAGATTAAAAAGGTGTCTCTGCTTGTTCAACTGAAATTGCTTGCACTCAGGAAATGCCCAACATTAATTCAGTAATTTGTAGAATCCATGAAGCCAAGCACACTTGTGCTACCCCGGTGGTTCCCGAACTTATTCCTAAAGCTCCTCAGCGAATGTTTCATTTTACTGAAACACTGTTTTATTATATACTGTTATCTGAACATATGTGACGGAACACAAATTATTCTTTGAATTCTTAATTGTATAAATTTAGGAAAGCTTTATTTATAAATGCTTTAACAATGTATAATATGGTTATTATGGTTTTCCATTGATTATGCCTAAGCCTAACTGAACAACAGACTGGGTCTGGATGTTGTACATTTGGGTTGATGCTGGATGTCGAAAGATTGTGTGTACTATTTGTTTAATGCATAATTGTATAAACATCTATAGGAATCAATTGCTGTATTGCTTTGGGTACAATTATTCATATATACCAAAAATAAAAACCCAAAATTTCTCTAAATATATTTATTGAAAAAATTAAAAGGAAAAAAGTTGTTTTCATAGAACCTCAAAAGATTTTGCAGACTGGAGGTTTACTATACCGTGCTGCTTGAAAGTTTGTGAACCCCTTGCAGAAACTGAATAATTTTAACAAAATAAGGGATCATACAAAATGCATGTTATTTTTTATTTAGTACTGTCCTGAGTAAGATATTTTACTTAAAAGATGTTTACATATAGTCCACAAGACCATAAAAATAGCTGAATTTATAAAAAATAAAAGTGTGTCATTACTGGATGATCCACAATTGTTTTGTTTTTTTAAATGATGTTTGTTCTTGAGTCCCTTTTTTGTCATGAGCAGTTAAACTGCCCAATGTTCTTCTGAAAAATCCATATTTGCATATTTGAACCCTTTCCAGCAGTGACTGTATGATTTTGAGATCCATCTTTTGAACGGGGACATTTTATTTGTCTTGAGGACTATATGTAAACATCTTTTTTTTTAAATATCTTACTCAGGACAGTACTAAATAAAAAATAACATAGATTTTGTATGACCCCTCTCATTTTGTTAAAATTATTCACATTTTCAGATTCTGCAAGGAGTTCACAAACTTTCAAGCATTATATTAAGTATATTCTTAATATATTTTCTTCAGTTTCTTCTGTTAAGTGTGGCTCAAATGATTGTCAGAATTTGCTCACCTTTGTGGATGTTGCAGAACATAATATGCATTATTCAATAAGCACTACACACATTGCATACTGTACACCTCATTATTTATTGCACTTGAATGGTAAAACAAGCACCATCCTCAGTAAGGGAAGATGTGTGTCCAACTGTCCATACAACCTGATGTCAAAAAGGACCTATGGAATGTGGTAATTAACCTTATGAGGACCAGCACTTAGTGTGGAAGCAGCATCCCTCTGCCACAGCTGAATGTGGAGAGCATCTATTCCTGAACAGCAACAAATGACCTCAGTATTACTGCCACAGAAGTGCTAGAAACACAAAAGCAGCTCAACAGCGAGCCTGAAGATGATACCTTGATCTTAACAGACTGCGGTCCTTCCAAAGTCTCTGTGAGGTAGTATCTCTTGAGGGTTTGGCCTGTGACTGTTTAAGGCTCTGTTGGGAAGCAGGTGGACTCTGGAGAATTTCCTCCACCTGCTGACGGCGATACACATGACCTAGCATGCAGAGTTTAAAGGTCATACAGAAGCCATTTTGTTCACCTGAAGTTTACCTCTGTTTCAATGCTCTGTAACCCCCTTAAAGGAAGTAGTTCAACAATCCAGTCATGTTTAGCAGCGTATACATGTGTGAAACGAATTATTTAATAACAGCACCTGTTTGGCAGCGAAGTACTGCTGTCTTTTCCTTAATCCTGGCTCGTGACTGAAGAGACAGAGGGTCCTCCAATGTTGGTGTGGAAATCTGCACAAAAGCACATGCTAAGTTGACTAAAACTTGATTGAACTCTTCACCAAAGCAATTACATATTAATGCAAGGCTTTAGTTGTGTAACTATTCACATAAAAAAGAAGATGATATGACTCACTTTGTGATAATGTGGTGAGTTGAAATGGTGCAGGAAAGGGTTGTACTCTAGGGGATCATAACTCTCTAGAAACACAAAACCCTAAAACACAGAACACATTTTAGTTTTTAGGGAGATTTTGGAAAACATTATAGCAGGTTTTCATATTTTGTTGTTTATTCTAAAAATCAAGTTATTCCATGACAACAATAGGCCTAATTTACTGTAAATTTTTTGTAACCCTAAATTTACATTTTAAATCTATATTTAATTTTATACGTGTTTTTTATTAGCATTAAATTTCTGGCCTGTAACAATAGACTGAATTAAAAAACAGTATTTTTTTTAGGTCCGTGTATCATCCGATCATTTGATTTCCAATTTTAAATGAAATAAGCAGAAATGAGAAAACGGTACCTTTATTCGTTTTTTAAAAAAAACTAAAAAACGAGATTTCGGCTTTATTTTTCGTTTTTTAGTTCACAGGCAAAAAACGAATACATGACTTCAAAATTCGTTTTTCACACGTGGGCGGTCGTGAAACGCCCCCCTTCCGCTGATTGGTCAAGTAAATCTGAGCATGTCGTCATCAGTCATCGCTCAGGTCTGTTCAACAAAATAATAGTCCTCAATGGTCCGTGTATCTTTTGGTCATTTGATTTCCTGTTTGGAATGGAATAACGAGAAATGAAATCCAGCTCGTTTATTCGTTTTTTTGTTTAGTTTAAAAAACGAAAAATTAGATTTTGGCTCGATTTTTCATTTTTCGTTTGTGGTTTACAAATCGGTTTATGGGTTCGATATTTCATTTGCACACGTGGGCGGCGCTGAAACGCCCCTTTCATCTGATTGGTCAAACCGCTCCGCCTTCAGTACAAGCTTTTCTTTCTGTCGGGCAGAATAAGAGTATTAATAAATGCACTTTAATAAAACAATGTCTGAAACCACCACTCACTGTTAACTACGCACAATATTTGAAGCAGAAATTTTGCTGGTAATGGGGGCTCTGCGACCCCAGTAACGTGAGCCACAGTAGACCTATGACAGATTATTTTAGCATTTCCCATTGATAAATACAGTGCAAATAGTTCCGTCTCTTTGGATAAAAGGGAAGTGGAAATAAAAATCAATAATAGGCTGAACTGTAACATGATAATATGTTCATAACATTTACCACTCTCGTCTTTTATTTACATCAAAAGGTGTGTGTGTGACATGCACAGTATATGCCTAAATAATTTTGAAAATTGAATAGAAATAAAGTTTATATTTATAAATGTAAGGATAGGCTATAGCCTACTCGGTTCACATGAAAAGAAAGAGACAGAAAAGAGAGAAGCTAGAATCAGTGAACGTACAGAACGGCTACTTTCAAAATTAGCAGGGTTTGGGATTAATTAAAATCATGACAGTTGAAGAGCACGGCATACCTTTAAAATGTTATTAGTTTTATTATAAAACGAATACAATTTTATTACATACTGAATTGGTCGATGTTTCTCTGAGTTCTGTTTATTATGTTGGCTTGAGAAAGCATATATTTAAACGTTATTATTATTATTATGAGAAATTGACTCCGCCTAGAACTTTAATGCTTCACCAAACTCAGCTCAGACCTTCAGACTGGTCTGACTCGCTTATATCTTTTTCTAACTGGTCAGACTTACTTTCCCAAAAAAATCCATTGACTTGCGTTATCTGAGCAATGGGCGTAATACTTAATGCTGTCCACTAGAGGGGGCGACAGGATAATACGTCTTTCTACTCTTTTCCTGTTTGCATCAGTTTAAATGACAAATAAAAGCATGAATTTCATTCATAAATAGGCCATATCTGTGTATGAGAACAAGCTTTACATTTCAAGCTGTAAAACTAATTAAAACTTGAACCCTACTTCAAAGTTTGCCACTCTATAGTTTCTTTTAAGATATTGTTAGTTTTTGCATTTAATATTAGTCCATCTGGAACTTTTATTTGTCATGAGCTCTATATTTTAAGATGTACTAGAAAAAATATGATTCAACAACAAAAACTCTGTTTTAACTCGGCAAATGTGTTTTCCTTTCAAGGCTATAGCCTACAAGTTAGCCTGCTTTTTGCCATGGCTTGCCATACTGCCCAGAATAAACTATATTTTCTCCACACGAGATGTTTAAAAACCCTGCATGTAGTTTTTGTGAAGACGAGCGCATATCTTACAATATCTTACAAAGGTTCTATCTATCTATCTATCTATCTATCTATCTATCTATCTATCTATCTATCTATCTATCTATCTATCTATCTATCTATCTATGAAAAACTTGAATGCAAACATTTATGCACAAATATATCTTAAATAACAGTTTAAAAAAAGGTGGTCTGCTATATTTCACAAAGGAAGATTGTGTGTTATACGAGAAGGACATAGCCTACTGTAAAATTAGCTGGTTTACGTAAAAATGCGGATTGATCATTGCACAGTTATTCCAGACGCCTCCCGGTGCTATTCGTATTGGAATTGTGTAATCACAGATTATGAACGGATGTTTTACACAACAACAAGGATATCTTCCCATTGGGTTTTCATGTTTTATGGGAACTTTAGACATCATGATTTTTATACTGTACAAACTGTGTTATCCCCTAACTCTAATGTAACCGTTATGGGTAGGTCATCTACGGACATCTAATGTTACGGACATATTTTATCATGGTACAGTTCAGTTATTGATTATTTTTTTTCCACTTCCCTTTTATCCAAAGAGACGGAACTATTTGCACTGTATTTATCAATGGGAAATACATCATGCTAAAGTAATCTGTCATATAGGTCTACTGTGGCTCACATTACTGGGGTCGCTTGCAAGTCGCAGCAGAGTTACGTGACCAGCAATATCTCTGCTTCAAATATTGTGCGTAGTTAACAGTGAGTGGTGGTTTCAGACATTGTTTTATTAAAGTGCATTTATTAATACTCTTATTCTGCCCGACAGAAAGAAAAGCTTGTACTGAAGGCGGAGCGGTTTGACCAATCAGATGAAAGGGGCGTTTCAGCGCCGCCCACGTGTGCAAATGAAATATCGAACCCATAAACCGATTTGTAAACCACAAACGAAAAATGAAAAATCGAGCCAAAATCTAATTTTTCGTTTTTTAAACTAAACAAAAAAACGAATAAACGAGCTGGATTTCATTTCTCGTTATTCCATTCCAAACAGGAAATCAAATGACCAAAAGATACACGGACCCTCAATGGTAATCTACCCATTAAGGATGTAATTTGTCTTTTTGAAAACCCTAACAAATCTTTAGAATCTACTGGTAACTTCCTTATCCTTGAGGCAAACTTTTACTTTCACAAACAAAGGTTTCTTAAGAAAATTCCTACTTTTAAAGATTTCTTATGTGAAGTAAAATATTTAATCAAATCACTAAGAATAATTGATAATAGAAAATTTACATCTTTTTTTGAAGAAATATAGAGATAGTTTATGTACCATGATTAATATCTGTTTGCTGTTTCTTTTTTTCTTCTTTGTTTAGCTCTTTCCATTTTTGCGCTATGATTGTGCTCGAATGAGTTTACTTGTTTAATATATACATTGTTGGAAATGTTTTAGATTTCTAAAAGATGTGTGTTTGCACTGTTGTAATTTTTTTAATTGAGTTGGGCCAACTTCATTTTAGAAAATTTTAATTCTAAATATTAATTATTGAGTTGAACCAACTTAATTTTTGAAAAATTTAATTGAGTTGGGCTGACTCAATTTAGGAAAATTTTAATTCTAAATATTAATTATTGAGTTGGGCCAACTTAATTTTAGAAAATTTTAATTCTAAATATTAATTATTAAGTTGGGCTAACTCAATTTTGGAATTTTTTTTTAATTCTAAATATTAATTATTGAGTTGGGCTAACTCAATTTTGGTGATTTTTAGTTCTAAATATTAATTATTGAGTTGGGCCAACTTAATTTTGAACAATTTAAATTGAGTTGGGCCAACTTAATTTTGGAAAATTTTAATTCTAAATAATAATTATTGAGTTGGATCAACTTAATTTTGAACAATTTAAATTGAGTTGGGCCAACTTAATTTTAGAAAGTTTTAATTCTAAATAAATTAAATTCGTGTGGGGTGTGGGGTGTGTGGTGTGCGTGCGTGTGGGGTGTGCGTGGTGGTGTGTGTGCGTGTGGTGTGCGTTTGTGTGGTGTGCATGTGTGTGGGGTGTGTGGTGTGCGTGTGGGGGGTGTGCGTGTGTGTGGGTGGTGTGCGTGTGAGTGCCTACCTGTAATTGCGTGTGTGTGTGGAAAGTTAGGTAGAATTAGTTAGCAAGCTAGTCTTTGTGTGTGTGTGTGTTTCTGTGTATGTGTCTGTGTGTGTGTGTGTTTCTGTGTATGTGTCTGTGTGTAAAATTAGGTAAAAAGTTAGGTAGCAGCAGAAAGTAAGGTAGAACAGTTAGACTATAGCCCCTTTCACACAGCGCGTTGATCCCGGGAAATTGCCAGAACTGTGTGAACGCAAACACGACCCGGGATTGATGCCGGGATCGATGCCGGGTTGGGGACCTAGTAACATTGCCGGGATCAGTCCCGGAACGCGCGCTGTGTGAACAAAAGCCGTAACCAATGCCGCGTCCTAATGATGACGCCGAAGTAAAGTGAAAGCAGGCTAGTGAAACGGTACGTAATGCGCTAGTTTATGATCGAATCAGAGAAAAAAATGCACAAGCGTGGTTTCTCCAGAGAGAAATCGCAGCTCATAAGCAAACTATACACGCTGCTGAGACATTACATGTCACATCGATGTCACGTGTCTTTACGGGATTTTTACGGGTTGTGTGTGAACGCACTCTTTGATTCCGGAAAATCACTGGCAGTGTGAATGAACCAAAATCAAACGAACCCGGGTCAAATCCCGGGTCGCTTTATCCGTGTATTTTCCGGAATCTCTGTGTGAAAGGGGCTCAAGTGTATTAGCATGTAGATACAATGGGTTATCCCACCAGTCACTATTGTTGCCGGTGACATGTTTGTGAGTTCTATGACCACATTAAACAAAGTTGAGTAATTGCAAAAGCATATATCAATACTAGACACCTTAAACATGATGTGTACCAAAAATCTATGTCCTATCTTTATGTTAACATACTTTACTAATCTTTTCTTTGGAAGCTTTCTTGCTGCCATCCTCTTCTCTTGGCGCAAACAGGAAATAAACAGCCCTGGTCATGTGACAATTTACAGTAAACATGCGACACTGCACATATTTCATTGAGACCCTTTATTATTTCAATATCTGGAGAAATGCATTGATAGATCATTCAGTAACATTTTTATAGCCTTAGGAATGAAACATTTTTTACGGTCACTGTTGTGACCGGTGGGATTAAATGTTATTGAGTTGGGCCGACTTAATTTTGAACAATTTAAATTGAGTTGGGGCAACTTAATTTTCGAAAATTTTAATTCTAAATATTAATTATTGACTTGTGCCAACTCAATTTTGGAAATTTTTAATTCTAAATTTTAATTATTGAGTTGGGTCAACTTAATTTAATTGAGTTGGATCAACTTAATTTTGAACAATTTAAATTGAGTTGGGCCAACTTAATTTTGGAAAATTTAAATTTTAAATATTATTTATTGAGTCTGGCCAACTTAATTTTGGAAAAATTTAAATTGAGTTGGGCCAACTCAATTTTAGAAAATTTAAATTCTAAATATTAATTGAGTTGAGCCAACTTAATTTTGAACAATTTAAATTGAGTTGGGCCAACATAATTTTTGAAAATTTAAATTCTAAATATTAATTATTGAGTTGAGCAAACTTAATTTTGAACAATTTAAACTGAGTTGGGCTAACTCAATTTTGGTCATTTTTAATTCTAAATATTAATTATTGAGTTGGGCCAACTTAATTTAATTTACTGTAACATGTAGCCAACATTAAGTAGGCCCAAATTTTCCCACTGATTAACTTATGACAACACCAGTGTTATTTGTTAATGTCTTCTGTAGATTTTGATCTTTATAAGTTGTTATGATAGGCCTATATTTTTAATGAAAACACAATTAAAAAAACCAACAACTTTTTATTACCAAATATACTATTAATAAGACGGGTGACCCAAAATACCCATATTATAACAAATAAATAAAAAATATTTGGAAATTGCCCTTTAAAACGAAGGCTCAGTTTGTGGTTTTATTGTGAAAACAATAAAACAAAGGCAAAGTCACTTATATTAAACTTTTTTTCTTTTTTTTGTTAACAGAAGTTATCTTACCCCCTTTAATTGCCTCCGCTATCATCCTGTCAATCATCTGTCTCATTCTCGCGGGTCGCGGCTATGATTACAGTTTCAGTAAAATTTTATTTCACCATCATCGGTACCCACCCTCAGCCGATTGGCATAATTACAGTATTTGCAATGACCATCCCGTGTCCAAAACGGAGCTTATACTGTCTAAAAGAAAAGTTGTGACTGCTGACTGAACACTGGTCTGTGCCTCACCCGCTCGGCGCTGTCCAGCGCAGCACCACACAGATTTAACTCTGCACAGCTAAATAAAACAGGCTGGTGGTAGACTAATATTTAATATTTCTGTGAAACGCGTTAAGTTGCACAGAAGAAAGCCCAATCTAGGACCTGCCCTGTACAGTTTAAGAAGTGGTAGTAGAGGACTATTATTATTTATTTTTTATTAAAAAAAATTACAATAGTGCAAACACACATCTTTTAGAATTTTAAAACATTTCCAACAATGTATATATTAAACAAGTAAACTCATTCGTGCACAATCATAGCACAAAAATGGAAAGAGCTAAACAAAGAAGAAAAAAGAAACAGCAAACAGATATTAATCATGGTACATAAACTATCTCTATATTTCTTCAAAAAAGAAGTACATTTTCTATTATCAATTATTCTAAGTGATTTGATTAAATATTGTACTTCACATAAGAAATCTTTAAAAGTAGGAATTTTCTTAAGAAACCTTTGTTTGTGAAAGTAAAAGTTTGCCACAAGGATAAGGAAGTTACCAGATTCTAAAGATTTGTTTGGGTTTAGTACATCCTTAATACACGAGGTTCTTGTATACAAACAATACCGGATGCGCGCGCATCCAGGAGGCAAAAAAACGCTATCTGTTCTGCCGAGTTCTGTAAAAGAACATTGCAATTAACGTAGATTTCGCATTGTTTGTAATTTCTTGTTGACTCAATAATAAACTGCAATTTCAGAGTTGAATCTTGTTTGTGTTTCATATTAATATAACATTATGTAAAACGTCCAACTGTTTACGAATCAAAATCCGTGCGCAAGCAGTGATGACGTCGCCGAGAAATCCATGTATGGGTAGATTACCGTTGAGGACTATTATTTTGTTGAACAGACCTGGGGTGCGTTTCCCAAAAAGCATCGTTAGCCAACTATGGTCGCAAGTTCCGTCGTTACCAATAGAGTTCAATGGGAATTGCGACCAACTTGCGACCATAGTTGGCTAACGATGCTTTCGGGAAACGCACCCCTGAGCGATGACTGATGACGACATGCTCAGATTTACTTGACCAATCAGCGGAAGGGGGGCGTCTCATGACCGCCCACATGTGGAAAACGAATTTTGAAGTCATGTATTCGTTTTTTGCCTGTGAACTAAAAAACGAAAAATCAAGCCGAAATCTCGTTTTTTCGTTTTTTCGAAAAAAAAAAAAAAAAAACGAATAAAAGTACCGTTTTCTCATTTCTGCTTATTTCATTTCAAATTGGAAATCAAATGATCGGATGATACACTGACCTTTTTAGCATTATTGACTCAACATTCATTACTGCATTGAAATTCCCCTGATAAAGGGTTACTATGAAAGTGTAGGCTACTATAATGTTGTGACTGTGCTGAAATGGCCTTTATAACACAAAGTGCATATAAAATTACAGTGCATTGCTCCTGTAACAGCATGCTTATGCTAATATCCATAATGTTATACGGTAACCGTTTAAGGTTATACCTTAGCATTACAGTAGTTGATGTAGTGTGCATGCATGCTCCTTATCTTCTGTGTCTCATTGTAGCTATGGTGTGTAAAGTGTTGCTCAATGCTCCGCTGTATTGGCAGCCACACACTCTGTGTCCAGCGCTTATAGAGCAGTTTACTTTTCCTCAAGTCCAGTGCGTCTCTGTGAGTGAGGTAGTGATCCAGATTCTGTACTGACACACGCAAACACAAATGATTCAGAGGTAACAGAAAGAATCACATCTGAAAATATTACCTTTATGAATCCAGCCTCAGTCTCCAGCAGTGGCTGTGTAATGGCATTAACTTCTTGCTGTTCAGAGTGTAATTGTTCCTGCAGGCGAACAGACAGTCGAGTTGGTTGAGTGTGCACCATTTATATAATATGTTTGTATGCAACTGTGGCTGTACCAGTAGTTGTTTTTTGGAGCTGAGAGAAATGGTGTGTTGCATGTCATCTGCAATCTTTGTATGTATCATTGTGCTGGTTGGTCAGAGCTTCATTCTCTTTGTAAATTCATTTCTGACAAGTTCACTGATTTATGAATGTCATTTGAAGACACTAAGGGCACAAGAACAATAACATTGGCAAATGCATAGGTTTATGGCACCGTTGGAAATTTTGACAGCCAAAACAGTCTGACGTTCTTGTGCCACAATCATTACTCATGAAAATGCATGCAAAGTTGCAAACCATAGTTTAACTATAACAATCAGTCTAAAACCCCACCCAATTTGAAGCAGTACTAAACTGCAGTGGAAAAGCAAAGCGAGCCGTGCGGAGTCGAAAAGCGCCATACATGGGAACAAACATGGAACTAATCAACATGAAGAACTACAACGAACTACAAACATGGCATAAGAAACAGGAAATACAACAAAGGTCCTGACAAGACAGGTAATATATAACATTTACTTACAAAGCATCATATTAACCCTCAGACGGTCTTCGTTTCGGAGTCACATCCTGGGCCTTCCCGGTCAGAAGTGACCGGACACCTAAAAATGAAACTTCCTCCATCCCAGTAAAACCAATGCAATTTATTTTTGTTCTATAATATTTATTCTTTTTAATTTAGTATTTTGAGACAATTTGATTGAACTTATTAATATTTATGCAATATTTATGGTAAATTTTTTACCATTGAAAATAATGAATTTTTTATTTTAATTTTTTATTTATTTTTCTTCTATGCAGTATTTTCGGTTAAAATAGAGACTAGGCTTTCAGAAAAAAATAAAAAATAAAAAAAATAAATCAATTTATTAAACATAAAATTAAATAAATCATGTTATTGCATGGGTTTACCACTAGATGCCTGTATAGCTCTAAATGGAGATGCTTGTGAATTCTAGTTGTTTTTGGACCAAATTACTTACTTTTAAGATGTGGATTGAATGTATTTTTTTTAGAAATTCTCAAATAATACTTTTTGCCAAGGTTTATAACATTTTATTAATTATTATTTTAATAATTTTAATAATTATTATATTAATTATATATATATATATATATATATATATATATATATATATATATATATATATATATATAATATATTAATTATGATTATTAATTATGTTATGTTTTTCACTCTTGATGTTTTAGAGTTTCACCCCTTCATTGCTGAGCACTTTTTTCTTCATCGTGGCCGATTTGTAGATAATTTTTGTGTTTTTGTCAATTTTCCATTCATTTCCTATGGGGGTCATTTTTGACCGAAGACCAAAATCATCACTATTTTTTTTACGACCACTTAGCATGCTCGGATCATGAACTCAATTTTTTTGTGTGTTCACATATCTAATGCCAGAAAAGTCTCCAAGTTTCGTAATTGTAGATTGTGTGTTTTTGTAAATTTCCCATTCATTTCCTATGGGTCGGTCATTTTTGACCCGAAGACCACAAGTGTGACTATTTTTTTTACGACCACTTAGCATGCTCGGATCATGACTTCAATTTTGTTTTGTTTTCACATACCTAATGCCATAAAAGTCACCAAGTTTCATAACATTCCGATGAAGCTTTTTAGAAATTCAAAACAGAAAATTTTCCGGTCATAAATGAACGAAAGACCGTCTGAGGGTTAAGACATTATTGGGAGATAAAAAGTGATAACTGATATTATACATTTTATGTTAGTATTCTGCTATAAAGTTAAGATTTCTTTGATTTACATTAAAAGCTATCAGAATTTCATCAATATAACATAAATAGGCTATCAGCAATTTCACAAATTTGCATATTTTTGCTCAGTTTGGGCATCTGAATAAAATGAAGGTGTTTCTTTCCTCCTCAAGTATCTAATGAGCCTTATAAGCCTGATATATCAAATATAATACTTAATTAAACACGAGCAAAAACATTTTTTAAAGATTAAAAAAAAAATGTTTGGTCCAAAGTTTCAATAAACTGTTCCGTTAAAAAATAGATTTTTCTATTTATTATTTCATATGTATGATTTGAACATATTTCCTCAATGTACGGGCACAAAGACATTAAATGACTAATATTAGAAAAAATAATAATAATTTAGAACAACTAGTCCATTTACTACAATTTTAAGCCTAATTTGACTTAAATAATAAGTATTGTCTCTTCATGTTACGAAATACAACGAGACTAACATCATCACGGGTCGGGTCGAGTCTTATTGCAGTTGAGCTCAATGAGTCTGTAACCTGAAGTGCAGCATCTAATTCCCCAGGGTTTTCAACACAGAACACCATGACACCACTCTGTACATGCAGCTATTGTGAAATCCAGAACTGTAGCTGACAGACTCCACCTGGCAGGACCGACCATCCAAACATCATCTGAATAACCTCGAGTAGACAGTTAATGGTCTTTTACTTTTTCTGAATGGCAGCTGAAAAGCAAACAACATTCAAGTGTATTTTCATGCAAAGGTGCCTGTACATATCCTTAAGACAATCACAAAGTTAGGAACGTTCGCCACCATAAAAAGGAACTTGTAATAATAACTTTGGCAATAGACCATATGCGACAGAGAAACAAGCGCGAAGCCATCTTTATATTTATGTGTTTGAACTTCAGTTTTTGCGGTAACTTAACGTACCGTTAGCTCAATATAACTTACCACTTGGTAAAGTGGATTTACTTGAAGATATTATTACATTGTAGCCTAATGTTTGAAGCGTAGGCTATGTCATACCAAATGCCAATTTGTGGACTTTACTCTAACCCTACTCGTCTATAAAGTTTATGAACTGCAATATTAATCGGTACATATTTAAAGTTGATAGCCTACTCACTGCGTCGTCGAAACGATGCGAGCTCTTTTTTCGCTTTTCCGCGCGCCCCCTTGTGTTGCTATGGTGACGTCTCTCAAACCCAAAATTCGTGAGCGCGCTCCCAGTCCTTCAGACATGTGCAGACACGTTCAAAGCTGGTACAAAAGGCTGAGGCACAGTGAAATGATATGTATAGTTGATATGTATACATAAATGCATATCTGACCACTTAATATTTCAATGTATAACTATAAAAGTATGTAGGCTATAGATTTACTAATGGTACCTTTTGGTGGAACAGATGAAGGAGGATCGTCGACTCAAGATATACAGTGTGTATTATTCATACTTACATGTATGAAAGGTGCTTATCATATGTTGTAAAATGTTATATAGCCCATAATGAAAAAACGAATCAACAAATCTGTCATGTTTGACACTTTTATTTGTTGTTGAATTACCGGTATGTCAAGCCCTCTAAGTTTAAGAGTGGTTAGCTGCCCCCTAGTGGATCCCTGGTCATTGTTAAGAATGCTTGGTGTATTAGATCTATGGGAAATATGCCTTTATTTGTGGTTCCAAGCAGAGAGACTTTTTTCTAAGATAGCACCCTCCAAGTCATGAACTTGTAAATTAACACAAATAAAATGTTAATTGGCCTATCTGAACCTTCTTGCAATCACCATTGCTTCAATACTAGAACACAAAGGTAACAACCTAGCAACCTAACAGGCTCCTGACAATGAAAAGCTGAACATACACAATATGAAAATATACAGAATAGATTGTGAAAATTAAACTTGTGTTGGCTATTGTCAGCTTTGTGATATGATTGGCATGCGTCAAACCAGACGTCATGCCACGTGGCGTGATTAAAAGCTAAGGACATTCTTCTAAAACAACTCACTCACCTGTCTGTCCAAAGCGAGAAATTATTAAGGATGGGAACCCAGCTATTGAGGTAGGCTAACTATGAACATTACCTTTCTGAAAAGTCAAAGTAATATCCTTATTATATATCCTACATCATTATGCTAGAGTATTGTTAGAAAGATTACATTGCTTCGAGTCTAAACAATGTGTGCTCTACAGCTCTGACATTTTTCATTCCTAAAATTAATCTTAATGACTTTTATAAGCATGTCCCTTCTTTTTCAAATAGCTTTGATTTGTATTTGTTGCTACCAAAAGAATACAACAAACTCTTGAGAAGAGGTATGAAATGACACCATTTCACATAAAATAAGTATTAGAACTAATACATTAAATATTAACTCATGCTTTCTTTCTAACAGCCGAAGAATTGATGAGGAGCATTCTGTCAAGGTTGGAATTGTAAATTAATTTTAAAGATTTTTGTTCTCTGCTTCTGATTTTACCTTTGTTCGTTCTAATGGACATGCATACGGGAATGGATACAACACCACCTTTATATATTGAGGATGATTATTACAGGTAAAAAAGATATATGACACATAAATTACACATTTTAGACATAGTACCACCTCAAGTACAACAATGTCTATCAGTGATTTTGTAAGTTACTGTTTTAAGGTTAAGCTGTTTTTGAAATAGGGGTTATTTAACGTCTCACCTTAGATAGGTGGGCAAACACATTTTTGTCAGTGCATGCATTGTCTACACAGGCGAAGCACTGCTACTTGGGCGCAGAGATATAACGCAACACCTGAAATCCCCATGGAAATCCCCCAACTCCCATCAACATACCGGCATGACTTTACTGTCTATGGGCAAGACCGGCACCGAATATCTTTAATATCTCTGCGCCCAATTAGCAGTGCTTCGCCTGTGCTTCACCTTAATATAGTCCCAAGTCAATATCTGCCTAGGAAATCACCTTCTTAATCTGCATTAATCACTTTTACTCACGACATGCTATCCGGCAACAAAGGATTACATTCAACCCATTCAGACCCTACGTCCATTACAATGGATATGGAGCTAGAATTGTGTCTTTATTACATGTGAGAAAATAAATGATCTGAGAGAAAGAAAAAAAAAAGTTTGAGAGAAAAGTTATTACACTGATAGCAAAAAAGCATTTCATGAGAGAAAAAGTTTTCATACCAGTAGCAAAAAATAATAATATTTGAGACTAAAAAAAGTTTTGAGAGAAAGTATTTTCTCATAGAACATAAAAATATATAAATTAGATTTTTTTTTTATATCTGAGAAAAAAAAACTCTCTCAAAATACTTTGATAAAAAATCTCAAATTTATATTTTTTGTTATCAGTGTGAAAACATTTTCTCAAAAAAAAAAAAGTGTTTCTCTCAAAACGCTTTTCTTTGCCCTCGATTTTGCTTTCGCTGTGAAAATTGTGTCATGGGTGGGGCCACGTTCTTATTGGCCAGTCGGGTGAGCATCGTCTTGTCTTGGG